TTTGGGGCGTGGTAACTCGACGCGTGGTAATTCGAGGCGTGGTAACTCGATGCTTGGTAATTCGGGGCGTGGTAACTCAGCGCGTGGTAACTGGGGGCGTGGTAACTCGGCGCGTGGTAATTGGGGGCGTGGTTATTCGACGCGTGGTAATTTGGGACGTGGTAAATGTCGACGAGTGGTATCTCGACGCGTAAGAGTTCGACGTATACACACGTGCATAATAATACAATTCCACATCGTCTATGAATGTATCTTTTATTTAATTCATTTTTTCGTAAATAATATAGTAACACGACGTGACTGTATGTTACATGAAGATTTATATATGCAATGTTTATAATTAATAACTTTAATATAAATATCAAATACATACGTGTACATTCTTTTAGAGCACCTTATCTTGTCAGATTAAAAGGAAAATAAATTTCAGCCGTGTTTTATGGGCGAAGAAAAAAGAGAAGGAAGGAACTCATCAGGTAGCCGGTTAATAAATCTCGTTCCTCATTTCGTTCGGACGCTATATTTTACTCACGAGCCGATATTTCGTGTCGAGTCAAAGCGTCCAATCCGTTCTTCCCTGGCTTTCTTTCGCTGGTTGGTTTATAGATCCTTATAAAACGAGAGTGGACGCGAACGGAGAAGACACATCGAGAATAAACGCGATCTCCCGCGTTCGCGTGAAAACCGGAAGCGATACTAAGCCGCGTCATCTCCTTTGCCGGGTATACGACACTATTAAATTTTCATTTTAATCATACTTCGTTCCTTGATCGATTTCCGGCTCTTGGGTTGATGGAAACTTCATTCGCTCGTTCGTATTATCACATCGTCGTTAAAATTATTATTTATAATTATTGGTTATTGATATTCTTGGGATACTATGATTTGGAAAAGTCATTGTATTACTCTGTTGTTTAAAATAATATATACTATGTGAATTATTAGTTTGAAGAATGTATACGTTGCAATTTTGATTAAAATTCGGGACGTGGTATCTCAGCGCGTAGGAATTCGACGCGTGGTAATTCGGGGCGTGGTAATTCGACGCATAGTAATTTGGGGCGTGGTAAATTGGCGCGTGGTAATTCGGGGCGTGGTAATTCGACGCATGGTAAATCGGCGCGTGGTAATTCGGGGCGTGGTAATTCTTGACGCTTGATAATTCGGAGTGGTAACTCGACGCGTGGTAACTCGGTGCGTGGTAACTCGTACGTGGTAATTCTCGACGCATGGTAATTTGGGGCGTGGTAATTTGGGGCGTGGTAATTTGGGGCGTGGTAATTCGGTGCGTGGTAATTCGGGGCGTGGTAATTCTTGACGCTTGATAATTCGGAGTGGTAATTCGGTGCGTGGTAATTCGGCGCGTGGTAATTCCACGCGTGGTAATTCGGTGCATGGTAATTTGGGGCGTGGTAATTCGGGGCGTGGTAATTCGGCGCGTGGTAATTCAGCGCGTGGTAACTCGACGCGTGGTAACTCGGTGCGTGGTAACTCGTCGCTTGGTAATTAGGGGCGTGGTAATTCTCGACGCTTGATAATTCGGAGCGTGGTAATTCTCGACGCTTGGTAATTCGTGGCGTGGTAACTCGATGCGTAGTGACTCGGTGCGTGGTAATTCGGGGTGTGGTAATTCGATGCGTGGTAATTGGGGGCGTGGTACTTCCACGCGTGGTAACTCAGCGCGTGGTAATTCGGGGCGTAGTAATTTTAATTATAGACATTGTATTACATAATGATTTAAGAATACTATTAAAATAATTAATTACGGACATTGTACTAACAGTTTAAAGATATAAATTTTGGTATAACATTGGTCTAACGTCAATACCAATATAGTGATAACATCAAAAACAATATATACATTCAAATTAAAATTGTTGTCCGAAGGTTTTTCATCCCGAAACCCGATAATTAATTTTGCAAGATTTATGACTGAGAATGTCGGGTTGAGCGCGAACTGGATCTCATATTCATGCACGATTTACATTCTGCCAAGAAATAGAAGAGGAAATATTGAAACAGATAGAACCTGGTCTAACTGCACATCTAACTACTCCAACTTGTCTGACTAAGTACCGAGTTCTACTACTCAAAGAGATGGTATATCCACGGAGGTATTACGTCTCGCCACTTTTAAATGATTCCATTGCGCTGTAAATTACACTTTGCAATTTAAATTAGCCTGTATAACATCCCCGAAAAACCCTCCTAGCGTTCTTAACGTTCTAACGACATTGTTTAAACGATAATTTTATCCAGTTCCTTTACGACTGGATTGAATGGTTTGATTGTTTCTTTGGTGTTTATGGAAACAATTTGTTATTATTATTACTGTGTTTTATTAGTTATAGTGTGTATATTGTTATGATTATTTGAGTAATGATTTGGGGTTGCAAAAGGTAGGAGCGTTTAAGTACGAGACAATGCAAGTATACAGGGTGTTTCACTTATCTAGTTGACGGTATATAAATATACAGGGTGTTTCATTTAACTAGTCAATAATATGTTACTATACAGGGTGTCTCATTTATCTGGTTGACAATATGTAAATATACAGGGTGTTTCATTTAACTAGTCGACAATATGTAATTATACAGGGTGTCTCAGTTGTCTAGTTGAAGATACATAAATATACAGAGTGTTTCATTTTACTAGTCAATAATATGTAACCATTCAAGGTGTCTCATTTATCTAGTTGACAATATATAAATATACAGGGTGTTTCATTTAACTAGTGAATAATATGTAACCATACAAGGTGTCTCATTTATCTAGTTGACAATATATAAATATACAGGGTGTTTCATTTAACTAGTCAATAATATGTAACCATACAGGGTGTCTCATTTATCTAGTTGACAATATATAAATATACAGGGTGTTTCATTTAACTAGTCGATATTATGTAACCATACAGGGTGTCTCATTTATCTAGTTGACAATATATAAATATACAGGGTGTCTCATTTAAGTAGTCGACAATATGTAATTATACAGGGTGTCTCATTTATCTAGTTGACAATATATGAATATGCAGGGTGTCTCATTTAACTAGACAATAATATGTAACCATACAGGATGTCTCATTTATCTAGTTGATAATACATAAATATACAGAGTGTTTCATTTAACTAGTGAATAATATGTAACCATACAGGGCGCCTCATTTATCTAGTTGACAATATATAAATATACAGGGTGTTTCATTTAACTAGTCAATAATATGTGACCATACAGGGTGTCTCATTTAACTATTCAATAACATGTAACCATACAGGGTGTTTCATTTAACTAGTCAATAATATGTAACCGTACAGGGTGTCTCATTTAGCTAGTCGACAGTATGTAACCATACAGGGTGTTTCATTCGACTACTGCATAAAATATAAATATACAAGTCGTCTCATTTCACAACTCCAAAATATACAAATATACAGGCTGTTTCATTTAATGTTCCGTATAACATGAACATTGCTAACACACTTCATTGATTTTCCCTAAATATAACACGACAACATACAAACATTTTTAAGCAACAAAGGAAATATTTAATAAGACAGAAGCAGAGAATGATCAAGTAGGAAGGAAATTACGTATAAAATGCGACGAAAATAAAGTAGTAAATGAAACTACGCGCAATGCAGCAAGGATAGAAGGCACGGGAACAAGAGGACAGTAGAAAAGGAACGCGACTATTACAGGGACAGAGACGAAAAATAGAGAAAAGTGGAAATGAACGAAACTGTGCAAAATGGGATTGAGATAGTAGAATCAGGAACACAGTAAAAAAAGGAGCCCGAAAAAAGGGTGAAAAAAAGAGCACAGGAAAACTGTCAGAAACAGAGAGAAAAAAAAATAGTAGCGAAGGTGCAAACCAGGGAGTTTTGAGGTTTTCACGGCTGGGTTTGTTACATTTAATACTGTTTGAGGCTTTCGGGTGTAAGCCGTGTCCAGAAGGAAAATATTCGCAGCGTTTCGACAAAAAGAGGAACAGGCAGCTTCATAAAGGGTCCGAGGACGCAAACCAGAGAACGAAATACGGGCAAAAGGAAACTCCATAGAAACTGAAACAAAGAAAAAAATCGCCGAAGACCCTAACAAACCGTAATTATAATATATGGAACAATAAATCACCGGTGAAGTAGAATACCGTTCTTTCGAAAGTGGGTAATCTGAAGGCTGCACGAGAACAATACGTACATGGACCAATAAATAGAAAGGTAAAAAGGATTAAAAATTCGAGCACGAAATAGGGAAGAATGGAACCGGTATGCAAATACCTGGAATTCTTTTAATGTATTTTTGTTAGATGCTTTTAAATTTGAAGTTGCCTTAACTTTTTTAATTAACAATAAATTTCATGAACAGCTAACAATAACTTCCTTAATAAACAAATTTAACGAACAATAATAAACTTCTTTAATAAACAATAATTTTCTTATCTCATTTAAAAATTTAGCCAAGACGAGTAAATACAGTAGACTGTCGCAAAACCAACGAAGTACGATAAATAAATAGAAGAGTACTCACCACCAGCAGCGACGCAGGTAATATTCAGGGAGGCACCCTCGCTATATGGGCCCAGGATATAGTGCGGTATATGAGACCTTCCATCTTCGTCCAATATACTAAGCTGCTCCGGCGGTACTGTAATAATTTCACGCAATAAGATCGCCTGGCCTTTCGTTTTCCCCTCGTTTCTCCTACAAAGCCCTCTCTCCTTCGTCCCCCTCGTAGAACACCGACACTCCACGGGGCAAAATCAATTTGCAAGACGATGAATTACCGCACAGGCGTGTGTCATCTTGAGACACCGCACTGGCCCGGGTGGTATTCTTATCTGGAAGCCCCGTGGACCACTTAGGAAGACGCTATCGTACGGATATGCAAATTGTTTTTAAGCCAGACCGGGGAACTGAAGTAGAGAGGGAACTTATTCCTCATCTTTGTGACGAATAAATTTGTGGAAATTTTTGGTGGTTTTTTGTATAGTTTGGGGATTTGGGGATTTGGGGAGGGAGTTTTGGGATTAACTTTGGAAGTTGTCGAGTTTTTATATTTTAGAGTTTTTTAATCTTGAAATTTTGTAGTGTGTGGATTCCTAAATTTTTAAATTCCTAATGTGTCAAATTTCTGGATTCCTAAGTTCCTAATTCCCCATCTCCTAATTTCCCAAATTCCTAATTCCTCAATTTCTAATTTTCCAATTTCTAATTCTCTACTTCCTAATTTCCCCAATTTCTAATTCCCCACCTCATAATTTCCCAAACTCCTAATTCCTCAAATTCCTAATTCCCAAACTCCTAATTCCCCAAACTCTTAATCCCCCAATTTCTAATTCCCCACCTCCTAATTTCCCAAACTCCTAATTCCCCAAACTCCCAATTCCCCAATTTGTAATTCCCCACTTCCTAATTTCCCAAACTCGTAATTCCCCAATTTCTAATTCCCCACCTCCTAATTTCCCAAACTCCCAATTCCCCAATTTCTAACTCCCCACCTCCTAATTTCCCAAACTCCTAAATCCCCAAACTCTTAATCCCCCAATTTCTAATTCCCCACCTCCTAATTTCCCAAACTCCCAATTCCCCAATTTCTAACTCCCCACCTCCTAATTTCCCAAACTCCTAATTCCCCAAACTCCCAATTCCCCAATTTGTAATTCCCCATCTCCTAATTTCCGAAACTCTTAATTCTTCAAACTCTTAATCCCCCAATTTCTAATTCCCCACCTCCTAATTTCCCAAACTCCCAATTCCCCAATTTCTAATTCCCCACCTCCTAATTCCCCGAACTCCCAATTCCCCAATTTCTAATTCCCCACCTCCCAATTTCCCAAACTCCCAATTCCCCAATTTCTAATTTCCCAAACTCCTAATTCCCCAATTTCTAGTTCGCCTCCTCCTAATTTCCCAAACTCCTAATTCCCCACCTCCTAATTTCCCAAACCTCATAATTCCCCAACCTCCTAAATCCTTATATTCCCACACACACATATCTCTCTTCAAGCTATTCAAATTTCCCCGCGAATAGAACGTTTCCAATAACCATCTCTCCGCTACATATTCATAAAACAGCGGGAAATTCAAACGCTTTTAAACTAGAGTATGTTCGTCAAAGCAATTTCAAAATGAAAAGCGTGTAAATGATCGAAGAAATCTGAATTATTCAATTGTAACCCCATCAAATTGATTCTGGCAGAATTAAATTTGCTTACGGTATACAAACTGGGAGAGGATTAATATTAATTTCGTTCTGAGGTAATATTAATATTCAATATCATAGATTGACCGTGTGCAAGCTTTATTGATACCGAAATTAATATTTGCCCGGCAATAAATGCATCGGCTTTTCGAATGTAATTCATTCTCGAACGTTCGAAAGTTTTAGCAATTTAAAAATTATATTGTTGATAATTTTATGTATTATCATTGTATGACTCACAACGTTGTTCGATGCTATCGTATTAATTGAAACTTAGAGAGAAATATGCTTTATCGATACGCCGATGCACAGTTTTCGACGAGTTTAAGCATCATGGACGCCGATCTAATTTCGTATTTCCCTCGATTCCGACGACTTTCAGATAAAACTCCTCTTAATCGTCGCTTGCTGAACCGTAGATCCGGGTCAAGAAGACCGAATCCACTCTCTGTTTGTTCCAGCTAATCGCGAAAAGCGGTCTGGCAAGCCTCGATCAACTTCCAAGGAGATCAAAGAGGAACAGAGAGAAACGGGATCCGTGAAAGGAGAGAAAAAAAAAACATAGGGAAATAGAAATGGGTTAGCAGGAAAGAGCTCGAAGAAACGAAAGGAAAAAAAAAGATGTCGAATATCAAGCTTTAATCGAGCGAATGGAAAAGGCTAGAGACACGATTGCACAAATTATAAAAAATTTCTTCAAGGATTTCTTTGAAGTTGGCAAAAGAAATTGGTCGTTTCAATTTTTTCCATTTACGTACATAAATTGTTGAATAATATAACATGAAAAGGATGATAGAGCCTTGGTTTGATAGATTTAACAAAGTTCATATATGTGCAGACATGTGTGACGTTCATTTATTTGGCGTTCACCTATATGACGTTCACTTACATGACGTTCACTTACATGGCGTTCACTTATGTGACGTTCACCTATGTACGTAGCGTTCATATATGTGACGTTCACATATGTGATACACATACATAGACTTTTTCCTATGTGACGTTCATTTATGTGGCGTTCACCTATATGACGTTCACTTATGTGACGTTCACCTATTTATGTAGCGTTCATATATGCGACGTTCACATATGTGATCCACAAACAGACTTTCCTATGTGATGTTCATTTATGTGGCGTTCACCTATATGACGTTCACTTATGTGACGTTCACCTATGTATGTAGCGTTCAGATATGTGACGTTCACATACGTGATCCACATACATAGACTTTCTCCTATGTGACGTTCACCTATATGACCTTCACTTATGTGACGTTCACCTACATGGCGTTCACGTATGTGACGATCACTTATGTAACGTCCACATACGTGCAAAGTATTAAGGAAGTTACGTAAGGCATTTTATAATAAAAGTTACTAATCCTGGTTATTGATAGCGTAACAAAGGATTACACGTTAATGCCGTAACACGTCAGATAAATAAATTAAAAAAGAATGATTAACTCGTGGCAGTATGACAATGCAATTTCGTGAAAATACATTTTCCGTAGCCGTAGAAGCGATCGTAATAAAAGAACGAGAACGTAGAGGGCGGAGTAATATTATTAAATAAAATGAAAAATGAAGCGACGTGTACACCGATGAACAGAGCATACGAGGAAGGAAATCATAATAAACAAACAAACAAAGACAAAGGTAAAGATATTGTATTACGGCGTCAAGGGGAAGTAATGGATGCAGGCAACTCAAAGCGGAGGAAAACGGAAGGACGAGAAGATTAATGGAGAATGAAACGGACAGACACAAGAGACGAACGAAATACGTATCCAGTCAAGGATACAACGAACAAAGGATCAAAGGATTCTGGCAAAAAAGTGGTCGGAATTCGCGTTAAAAGGAAAACTATGCGATAAAAAAAAATGCCTGTACGAAACATAAAAACATGACCCGCAAAAAGAAACAGTTGCAATAAATGGACGTTTGAAGGTAATTTTAAAGGTACGCAGTTGAAACTGAACGAAAAGGAAATTAAAGGATAATTTGGTGCATTAAAAAATATTAATTTCACTCTAGATGTGAAATTAGTATAATGAAGAAGAAAGAAGTTCATACTTTTAATTGATATAATAAATGTTTCGAATGGTTGTTGCAGTAAAATGAGTATACATGGTCAGACACAGTAATCAAAAGGACTAGTAACTAGTCGTGTAGTAATCTAACATGTGATAATCTAACGAGTAGTAATCTAACACGTGGTAACACAACACGTGGTAAATTGATATGTGACAGAACAACATCTGATAGTTCAACACATGGATGGTCACTGTATTGTAATTTAGCGAGTGGTAATCTAACGCGTAGATATCTAACGCGTAGTTATATGACCTGCCGTAATCTAACGAATGGTACTTCAACGCGTAAAAATACAACGCGTTATTATTCAACGAGTGGTAATCTAGTGTCTCCTTACGTAACGTGTAGTACTCCAGCGCTTACTTATCTAACGTGTAATACTCCAGCGCTCACTTATCTAACGTGTAATGCCACCGCGCTCACTTATCTAATGTGTAATACTCCAGCGCTCATTTATCTAACGTGTAATACTCCAGCGCTCACTTATCCAATGTGTAGTAATCCAGCGCTCACTTATCTAACGTGTAGTAATCCAACGCTCACTTATCTAACGTGTAATACTCCAGCGCTCACTTATCCAACGTGTAATACTCCAGCGCTCACTTATCTAACGTGTAGTAATCCAACGCTCACTTACATAACCTCCATCAAATTTTTATATCAAAACGAATTAAGACCCGAATAAGCAAATGTAAAAGTATAAATCAACGACCTTAAAGAGTCTTAAAGAGTTAAATAAATGATTCTGTACAGAAGCATTCGCATAACATAAGAGGTGTCCATGTTGCCAGCACACGAAAGTACGCGGAGGAAAGGGAAGATCGAAGTAGAATAAGAGGATGAAGAGGAAGATGAAAGATGGTAGAGATTCTGATCCGTTGAATACTCACTGATCACCGTGAGATTGACTTTACTGTTTCTGGTCGGCGACTGCTTGAAATCGACCCTGCATCTGTAAACGGCCGCGTCGCTCTCACGGACGTCCTCGAGGGTGAGTTTTGCGGGATGCTCCGTGTATCTGAAGAAGGCACGTTTGCCGAGGCTGTTATTCTGCCAGTGTTTTCCTTGTTCAAGGTTGCTCTGCCCCCTTGTGTCGAAACTGCAAATAGACCGGGTGTGTAGCGACGACGACACCGTGCCGTAGGGGTGTGGAAAGATGCTTGGGAAAACGACAAATTTCTCAACTACAACCGGAAACGACGTACGCGACCGCCAACATAGAAACCGTCTCCACCATACTCTTCGAAGCAAACAACGACAGAGTAGATTTCTTGCTCTGTGTCTGCTACTTTATTTGATGAATGATTGAAATTTTTTTATTCAGCAACAAAAATTTCTGGGATTCTCAAGTCTCTTTATTTGGGATCAGAAATTTTTAGGATTAAAAAATTTTGTTATACAGATATTTTTGACAAGTGCCTTCGAGTGAAGAATAAGGATCGACAAAGGATATAATTTTATAGTGCTCCACGTTTAAGCGGTATTAATTTAAACGATGAATATTCCGTGAAGTTCTAAAGGCGTATAGCTTCTGAAACGTGGAAGCATTGAAGGTATCCGTTTCGAAATACGATCCCGGGTATTTATAACGTCATCGTAAAAGCAGGATCGGAAAGAGGAAGAAAATGTAAATAACTCGTTGGAGAAATACCTTTGAAGATAGAATGGTGCTTTGATCTCTTTAAGAAACTCCGACGGTATCGATACACCATAAATTTAGTTAGATCCCGATCGCAATTGCGACAGCCGCGTGATAAAAGTAGCGTCGCGTAAAAGGCCAGATATTAGACGTTTAAAATGGCCGAAGAATCTCGCGTCACTTTGTGCTTTTCTTTGATAACCGGACGTATTTCTCGATTGATCGTTTCCGCGAGAGGTTAGCACAGTCAATATGAAATTTTCTATCTCGTCTCGTATCCGTTTTCGAATCTAATAGGATACTTCAACGTCCGTTCGCGTATTCGTGCGGAAGAATCGGCAGCCTTTCAGCGAAACTTTCGACGCCATGACGCTATAACTATTTCCGATGCAACGGTCTTATCAACTGCTCGCGGACATACTGCTCTATGGGCCACGATGTCGATTTATGGAGATATTAAATTTGGGAGTATCGAATTTTTTGCTTGGAAACTTGGTTGTCTCACAACCAGTGTAACTCTTGAGATTGGGTGATGGGGTTCGAGATTCTGAACAACTTTTTCCTTTGCAAAAATTCGATCTGAAGCTTCGTTTCTGAATTATTAAGGAAAAACACGGACCAATCAGAGCGCGAGACGCGTGCGCAGGCGCGAGACAGCTCCGCCCAGCGGCTGAGCGCGCGAAAACCTCGTGCTCTGATTGGTCCGCGTTTTTCCTTAATAATTCAAAAACGAAGCTTCAGATCGAATTTTTGTAAAGGGAAAAGTTGTTCAGAATCTCGAATCCCATCTATTCCGAGAGTTACACTAGTAATGTAACCAACGTAGCGACCCTGTAGGATTTCGTCTAACTTGTACGCTGTATTTTATAGCGAGATAAAGTTATAATTCAATATTACACTGGCAAATGGTATTACACTTATTTCCTTTTCCAAGGAACATAGTCTCCGCTAATATCAGTTACATCACTTACGTACATGTTGGCACAGATAAGTATGAAATTTGAATAACATTTTGCGATAAGACCTCAGTGCAATGAGCGTTATCACTGCAAAAAGAACATGAAGCAGTGAATTGATTATATTAAAATTTTGTGCAACTAATAATTTCCTCATTAGCAATATTAAGAATACTAGGGTTCTAGGGGATTATTAATACTAGGGTTCCTTGATACATGAAGGATATGTAAACTTGACAATTTTCCAACTAAAAAATTTCAACTCTTTCACCAACATTTTTGCAAAGGGAAAAGTTGTTCAGAATCTCGAACCCCACCACCCAAAGGAGTTACACCAGCTAAGACACCCTGTAGAAATTTAGAGATGACATTTAACAATCTAGAAATCTAGGAATAGAAAAATCCAGAAATATAAAACAAACTAAACAATTAAATGAAGTAATGTAGAAGTACCTAGTCCCAGAATTTTCTAACTTCAATTTAACCTAATGCCATAATCTAAAAAGAGTTGCCATAACTGAAAAATGTGGAAGAACCGCAAATAAAATTCGCAGCGCATATAGCAAATACGTAGCGTGAAAAATATTGTAGGAAATTTCTAAGAGAAATCGTTTGCAATGAAAACGCGTGTCAGGCGTAGACAGGCTTTCCACGGAAAAATAAAGCTCGCGAGGCGAAAGAAAGCCGGAAAGCTTAGCAGTCTTCCGGGAGAGTTTCGAGGTCTGTTTTCTTTCTTCGTGGCGCGATATTACGCCGCTGAAGCGTTCAAAGTGTTTACACACGCGGCTAATAAACCGGGCGAATATCAAGCGGGTAACAATCGGGGTGGTTCGGCGTTCTATTGACAACAGAACCGTGACCCGGTTATAATCGCGGCTCGCATTTCTGTTCTCGCGGCTGCGTCGAATGCCATCGGGAAATATTCGAAATTTCGCGATGGAATTGGAATATTGTGCCGTTTCACGCGTCGAGTGTTATCGTCCGTAATTTTCACGGCATCCTAATGCGAAATTCTCCGAATATTTTTCCACGGCATATTCCTGTTTTTCGAGCAAACAATGAACACCCGCCGAACGCTGATTACGCGAATCGATTAATTACCCCGGCGTTAATTCTCTAACAAACCCGTTGTTATATATTGATTAATTTGTGGCATTGTTTAATTTGTTGGTAATTAAATCGATAATTAGGGGTGCTTGTTGATAAAGTTGCTTTGTTTGCACTTTGATGCCTGATGAGGGACTTTTTTTGAATAGGTGTCTTTTTGGTTATGTAGGTTATGTACTTTTTGCTACATGTTGCTTTATTGATACAATTCTGCAACATGTTCACAACTATTCCGTGCATTGTCACTTCTCAGATATTCTACGGAACGTTACGTTTCCAGTAGGATAGGACGCTTTCTTAAATTCTTTGCAACATGTTACTGTAGCAAATATTCTGCAACATGTTACTTTCATAAATATTCTGGAAATTGTCAATTTTCAAATATTTTGAGGAAGGTTATTTTTCCAAATGTTTCATAGGACGTTAATTCTTGAAACAATTTGCAACATTGTTACTGTAGCAAATATTTTGCAACATGTTACTTTCACAAATGTGCAACATGTTGCTTTCATAAATACTCTGTAAAATGTCAGCTCCACAAACAGTCTGCAATATGTTACGTTCTCAAATACTTTGCTACTTGTTAATTTCACAAATGTTCTTGCAACATGTTGCTCTCATAAATGTTCTGCAACATGTTGCTTGTACAAATACTCTATAAAATGTCACTTTCACAAACAGTCTGCAATATGTTACTTTCTCAAATACTTTGCTACATGTTAATTTCACAAATGTTCTTGCAACATGTTGCTCTCATAAATGTTCTGCAACATGTTACTTTCATAAATACTCTGTAAAATGTCACTTTCACAAACAGTCTGCAATATGTTACGTTCTCAAATACTTTGCTACTTGTTAATTTCACAAATGTTCTTGCAACATGTTGCTTTCATAAATGTTTTGCAACATGTTGCTTTCATAAATACTCTGTAAAATGTCAGCTCCACAAATAGTCTGCAATATGTTACTTTCTCAAATACTTTGCTACTTGTTAATTTCACAAATGTTCTTGCAACATGTTACTTTCATAAATGTCCTTGCAACATGTTGCTTGTACAAATACTCTGTAAAATGTCACTTCCACAAACAGTCTGCAACACGTTACTTTCTCAAACACTCTAAACTATTATTTTCGTAAATATTCTGTAAATTGTTCCTTTAACAAATGTTCTAAAAAATGTCTCCTCCACAACTGTACCATAAAACATCACTTCCACAAATACCCAGCAACACGTCACCCATCCAAACATCCAATAACCCTAATTAGACGATGCACGTCTACCCACACGAAACCTGATATCGAGACACAGAAATTCCGTTAATAAGCGCGTTTTAAATCGAAGGAACACGAATGGTAGTTCCGAGAGACGCATCGGAAAGGGACGCGATTCCGGTTGTTCAAAGCGACCGTTTGGCAGGCGAGATGTAATTAACCGTGAACTTTAACGCGTAACAGCGGAATAATTGGTTTGCACGGGGAAATCGGGACCGAACCGAACGCCACAGGCTGGTTTAATAAAAATTGAGTTTGGCTATTCGGTTAATTTCACGGGCTTGATAATTCCGCGAGTTCCGGCTCGGAAACCAAGCTAACTTTGTTACGCTCTCTGATGGAATTAATAACTTGGAATGTTGATTGTGAATCAAGTTTAATCGCCAATTCTTTTTCCACCAGTTCTTTTTTGAGAGAGAGGTCTTTCGTGGTCGGTACATTGAATAACCGGGAAGTTTGTTAAAGTTTTAAACGGTTTTTTAACGGATTCGAGTGATTGTGCTTTTAAGTTTGTTTACTTATTGTGTTTCGTTTGGATGACGTTTATGGAAGATGTTTTTAAAAACGTATATAACTTTGAGTGGCAAGATTGATCATTTTCTTTGAACTGTATTTATGATTTTGGTCAGACATTTTGATTTTGTTATAATTAGTATGAATTTATGAAAGATGTTCTTAAAAAAAATACCACAACTTTGAGTGGCAAGATTGAATATTTTCTTTGAACTGTATTTTGTGATTTTGGTCAGACATTTTGATTTTGTTATAATTAATATGAATTTATGAAAGATGTTCTTAAAAAAAATACAACTTTGAGTAGCAAGACTGATCATTTTCTTTGAACTGTATTTTGTGATTTTGGTCAGACATTTTGATTTTGTTATAATTAATATGAATTTATAAAAGATGTTCTTAAAAAAAATACAACAACTTTGAGTGGCAAGATTGAATATTTTCTTTGAACTGTATTTTGTGATTTTGGTCAGATATTTTGATTTTGTCATTATTAATATGAATTTATGAAAAATGTTCAATTAAAAATGTACATATAAACTAGAACAACAAGGTGTCCCATTAAGTTTGATCTAAATTAATGTCTGAAGAAAAACAAATAAGTTCGAACA